AGTTGGCAGGGTGACTTTGTTGGGACAGCAAGCAAATAATATTTGCAGTTGAATATTTCTTCCATTACAGATTACAGATTTAGATAGGGCCAGTGAAAATCTTGGGGTGTCACAATGCAAAACTATAACTGCATTAAAGGAAATTTCAGGCTACAAAAGATAATAAAAAGTTAAAGATACTGCATTATAATATAGTGTAAAATCCTGCATACTGTTAAATTTCATGGTTGATCTTGAATATCAGATTATGATATTCACAAAAAATCAGACAATAAATCTTTAATTATTCATTCAATTTTGAAGCACCATCAGTGTGGGTTGATTAAACATAAATATTAACCATTAGCTGATAAGAAGGGTTTTAATATTACTTGCAAATATCTTGCATTCTCTGACTCATAGCCTGGAACTGAAATTTAATTTAAATGCCAAGATTCTGGTTTCAACTCTAGGTGTGTCTGTTTCTATAAAATAAAATTATGAATTATTGATGCAATAATGTAAGACCTAAAGTTCCGATTCAGTTACTAAACAAACATCTGTAGGGCTGCAACTACTAGTCAGTAAAATCGACTACTTATATATGTAGCTGTGTGAGGTGGCCAAGAGCAAGCTAACAAAATTATTTTCATTATAGAAACACCACCGTGTCTGAGTATCTGCAACCATCTCAATCTCCCTTTGTGTTTAATGTTGTGAAAAATCAGATTTAGGATTTTGAGAGGTAATTTGCAGAAAATGTGTGGAATGAGAGAGAAGTGAGAGAGGCAGGGGCAGCCGGGCAAACCTGACAGAATTGTTACATTAATGCTGCTTAATATAAATTTGTATAACCTTTTTATGATTTTATGTTAAAGAGGTGTTTTAGAAGTAATTCACTTATGAGACAGATGTTTGTGCAAAAATGTATTTGAATTTTAACAAAACTGTACTGTGAGTCATGCATGCCCATATTCTGTTGCTCTAATGCATGTGCAGTATAAGATGTTTGCATGATAAAAGAGATACAGCACATAGAGTGGATGGATCATTATCACTGAATAACAGACCATTCTATGACATTTAATCCACACAGGTGCACCCACATGATTGGTTCCTGGGAATATGCATGTAGCCACTTGCATAGCACCTTCCTAAACATCCACCTGTCTTGGGAGTGGGAGCAAGTTCAGCCGGTTTTCATGTGGTAGTGGTGTCTGCTGCAGCTTGCTGTTGCTTCACAAAAAACTTTTCTTAGTCCTTATTACTGTCAAACTACTATTGACTTTTAGTAAAATATTCCATGAGGCCACATTAAATTCACACCATTATTTCTTTAAATTTTGTTTGTTGCTGAAACCACTGATGAGTGTTAATGTTGAAAAAGTACAGGAAGGATTACTGTAGACCACAGAGTAAATAAAGACAGGATTCATAAACAACAAAGAAGAAAAGGAATTGCTTCAGCATTTTGTTTAAAGCCAAAAAACCCAAGCTCTAATAGCAGCACACACAAATGAAGTACTGATAGTTGCCCAAGGCCTGAAAACAATTCCTTAGTCACTCATTATTTCACAACCAAAATGGCTTATATCCTGACTTGTAGCACAGCTACTATTTTGCATTTACGCTACCTGACTCTCACACATTTATCTGGCACTGTCGTTTAGAAAAACACCCACTGAGATTTCCAGTTGAGTCCCTAAGTAACAAAAACAACTCTAAGAGCGCAAGGATCTGAGCCACTATGTCCTAAGAATATAAATGGACAAAATAGGTTAAAAATAACAATATGTTTTGATTTTAAATATGATTTTAAAGATATTTTACACCCTCGATGCTATACTTTAGTAGATCTTCTCTAAAAGATCTATAAAAAGTCTTTCATGCTTTCTGCAGACCCCTGAAAACCCCAGGCACCTGTTTGTGTCATGTGATAATGTGTTATGCCTGAACATGCATGACTCACTGAAGATCCTATAAAGATACTCATCGTGCTTAAATTACCTACTGAAACTGTGACTGTACCTGAACAATGGCCCCAGGGCTCGCTGTCAGGACGTCACACAGATACACACACTTCCCTATCTGGGGATTGAAACTACTGCTGTTTCTGTTTTTTTTTTTTTAATTTCTTGAAAAACCCAAACAGTGTAAATTAGAACACTTCTTATTACATCACATACTCTTTTGTAAACAGCCGATGACACATTCTCAAAACAAGATATTGTCATAATTGTTTTTATTTTTCATATCACAATATAATAAAACTAAATAAATAAACACAATGTTCTGTCTATTCTAAGTGAAGATGGTAACATGTCTGCACCATGTTATTTGAAACAAGATTATTGTTTCTGTAAAAATGACTAAATGTTTTCATGTTTGAAAAAGTACAGATACACAGCCCAAATTACAAAAGCACATTCTGAAAAGTTTGTTTCTTTTTATGTACCTCACACAAATAGTAAACAATACTGCATTTTACATTTCAAGGTATTTACTTGCTAGTTAGATATGATTTCTCTGCTACTGTAAATTCAAAAGCAGCCATGGTAGTTGTGGTTCCCAACTTTTAGTGTGTCTTTGCTTAACTATGTATTGATAATAATGAGCCAGGCAGTTTAACTAGAGGGTTGGGCGCCTGACTGAGAGCCAGCTCCAGCCGTTACTGTGAAGTCTGGGCTTGCCCCAGACTGCCTGCTGGTGCTTGTCACTTCAGCTTCTTCTGGCATTTTCTCACAGCTGCTAGAGTCATGTTTTGTACCTGCTGCTGCAAAAATGTTTACTGTTCACTTTTGTCTCAGTTAAGAAACTTGAACTCTTCATCACAGGCCACCTACACATCAAAACTAATCTCACCCTGTACCCATCTCTCCTCAGCATCTTAATGGTGGAAATTCCTCCTGGCCTCCTTGTGTGTGGAATCCAATCTCCACAGCAAGGCCAAGGCAGCTTTAATGATCTTACCTTCAATAAAATGGAGTCTTTATAGTCCTAGCAGCAGTTTTGGCTCGTACACACTGCCTCTATTCATTTCTGAAACAATCTGATTCTCTCTCTTGCTCTCGATGCCCCCTCTCACTATTCCCTCTTTTTGCAACAGTCTGTTAACTTGAATCACCTTGCATGGTGTTTGCCATTTCTCCAACATCTCCCTCCTGCATGTCTTCTCCCTTCTGTGGAAAACTACCAATAATTCAAGTGGGACCTGGACTGAGTACACAAAGACAACCTGCAGGAGAAGGCTGGAGCCATTTATCCTTTAAGGACTGACAACACAGAAAGGTCAGCTCTGATCTCTTGTTTTCCCCTACAGAACAGCTTTTCTGTTGCTTTTATCCATGACTGACAAGTCAACTAATCTTAACCCAGACCACGAGCTTTCCCTCACCCAACGGAGTTTTTTGTGTCTTAACCTAACCCGACTTTAGTATAGCATTGCCATGTCAAAAAAGGGTTAGTTATATATCTTTCATCTGTGGTATATCTCTGCCACCACAGGGGTGCAATTTCAGGAGATGCTCTTATAGGACAAATCAGGTTAGGTTGTTAAATCAGTGTAGGATGTACTATGTACTTTATTAGTCACATCTGTGTAATACATACCTGAAGGTACTGGGACTGATTACAATCTGAATGGTCTGAGTACTAATCCAACCAGCTGCATTCTGTGGTTTATAGTTGATCAGTGTCACTTGGCCTATTTATTAGGGATGATATGGAAACTTTAAAAACATGCTGTCTAGTTAAGTGTTGACATTACTTAATTATGATTTTTAAAATAGTTGCAGTCAAAGAATTTGGGTTCAGCTAATTTTGTCATTTTCATAAGGAGGAGCTTTGTCACATCCTGTCTACTTTTGTCTATTAATATTCTAGGAAATAGTGAAATTATGAAGAGAATAGCACTTATATTTGTGTAGTGTGTGTTTTACCTTTGCCTCAAACTGAAACTCCCTCATCTGAAAAGATCAGAGACCAGAGGTCAAAGGTTAGCAGATAACATCAGGAGCTAAATTCTGCCTTCTTCAAAAAATAAAAAATTGAGATGTCCTTGTGTTTCAGGAAAGGTGTGTAAGTAATTACAATAATATATAACTAGAGAACTTGAGTTCAGTGAGTCAGAAAAAGGTAGAAATCAATAGTTTACTTTGGAAACACATAGTTAATGTTTAATGGCATTTTACATTCAAGCAGAACTATAGGTTTAAGAAACATTTGGAGAACTCTTGGATGAACTTAAAAATGCAAAGTAACCATCGCAGTTCCTAAAGAATTGACATGATTTTCACTTGACACAAACAAAACAGAGGTTTTAGTCACAGTTACCACAGTACATGACAGAAAGCATGTACAATAGGAACAAAAAAAGAGACCTAATAGTGAATACCATCACTTTGAGGGTGTGGTTTGTAATACTTTTTAAGTTTGCTTAAGAGATCACAACACCTATGAGTCACAGTGTGGCTTCAACTTCCACTGAGTGAGACAAAAACTGACATGATGACACATGCCTGGTGCTGGAAGTACGAGTGGGGGTGAGAAGAGTGTCTTCACGTCACAGGTCTGTGTGACAGTGTGTTTGTGTCAAACCCACCCCGAGTTAGCTGTATAAAAGACCTGCTCCAGCCATACCCAAGCATTTATTCTTGGGGATCTCTCAAGTGAGACTTCACTGACTTTTGGACCTTTTTTGTGGACAACTTTCAAGAAGCTTTCTGAGGAGACATGGTGTCAGCTGGTTTTCAGATAATGGGCCTTGCCCTGGCTATTATTGGTTGTATTGGTGTTATTGTGGCCTGTGCCTTACCTCAGTGGAAAGTGACAGCCTTCATCGGCCAGAACATTGTAACTGCACAAACCACTTGGGAGGGCATCTGGATGACCTGCGTGGTCCAGAGCACAGGCCAGATGCAGTGCAAGGTCTATGACTCCATGCTGGCCCTTTCTGATGACCTCCAGGCCGCCCGAGCTCTCACTATCATCTCTATCCTGATTGGTATCGTCGGCATCTTCCTGGCCATTGCTGGGGGCAAGTGCACCAACTGTGTGGAGGACGAGAGCAGCAAAGCCAAAATCGGCGTGACCTCTGGTGTGATCTTCATCATTGCTGGTATTTTGTGCCTCATCCCCGTGTGCTGGACAGCAAATACCATCATTAGGGACTTCTACAACCCACTGCTGGTGGGCTCTCAGAAGAGGGAGCTGGGGGCCGCACTCTTCATTGGCTGGGGAGCTTCAGCTCTCCTGATCTTGGGTGGTGCTCTCCTCTGTGCCAACTGCCCTCCCAAGGATAACTACTCTGCCAAGTACGCAGCTGCTCGTTCATCTGCACCTGCACCCAAGGGCTATGTGTGAGAAGAGAACAGCCAGATGAGAAGGCTGAGAGACTGAGAAAAAGACATTGCCACATTAATTATACTTAGAATTTCAAGGTGATTTTATTGTGCCCATAGTTTGCTTTGATATTTTCATGCTGCGTTACAGTATTTCAAGTTTGTTACATTTGTGTCGAGTTGTGCACCACACCAAGATAACTGTGCAACTGTGCATGTGGATTGAGTAAAAACAGAGAGCATAAATACTGGAGGTGCATTTAACATGTTATTGGGATGAATTGTATTTTTATTTTCCTATACTTTCATCACGTTGTGTCTATTTACATGCCATTTCACTTTAAAGTGTTTTATATGTGACTGCCAGAAACTGTAAATAAACATTTTTTATCAACATTGAATTATTATGGTTTGTCTAGATTTTATAACATGTTATTAAAGCCATTGAATCCAAAACTAAAATGAAGCCTTCAGAAAAAAGGACAAGGAGGAGTCCTGATATACACAACCCAAAGAGATGAGTTAATTAACCTAAAATAATCATATATTTCTTATATAAATCAAACAAAATTCTACATATCAACCTGTCACAAAATAAATCCTCATTATAGTTTCAAATACTCCATCACAAATTCTCTTTGTTAATGTTTCTAGTGTAAGTAGACAAAAGAAGAGTAAAAAAATTAAGTGAAACATTTTATGACTAACTACTTTATAATGAAGTAAAATGACTTAAGAAAAGCAACAAAATACACTCCAGAATAAGTGCACACTTATTACAATGTTTCTGGGAAACCAGTTTGGCTTTATGATCCTTGTGAATTATGAAATGAATGTAGATTTTGTTTTTACAGGAAATTTTATTTGCAAAATAATAATAAACTCAAAACCAAGAAGCTGCCTTTTAATAGAAACATTTGCACCTGTTAGCTCTAAAATGGAAACTTTTAAAGTCATGTGCTGAGCCGTTTAGTGAAGTGCTCGCTGTCCTAATGATTACCTGTCCAACACTACCCCTTGCTGTCAGTAAAATAACACATCCTGTATTTTCTCCTGCACATGGTTTCATGTGCCCAGAGAAAGAAACTGTCACTGTGTCTGATTGTTTTGACGTACAGTTTTGACCCATGAGGTGTACAGGTCCTCCATGGAGGGTGAGCTGGCACTGATAAACAGTAATATACCACTAATAATAACAATGATGACGATGATCATCATCGTAATACTTTATTAATCTTCGTGGAAATTCAGGTGTTACAGCAGCAAAGCAAAAATTACAATAAAAGTTATAAAATAGAATATAGAAAGCTAGAATATAGTAAATTGCCCAATATAACAATATCAAAAAATAAACTGGAATTATAATAATAAGAGAGAATACATACAAACTAAGTCACATAAATAGTACAGTGTGTGTGTGTGTGTGTGTGTGTGTGTGAGACATTTGTTCAGAGTAAAATACTGAAAGTGCTGCTCAAGGTACTCAGGGTGTCCTGTACAGGGTGTGGATGGACAGCCCAAAAACATAATGCCTCTGACCCCAGCTATTACTGTCATGGAGGCATAAAGGGCAGCAGATCCCTGATAGGAGACTACAGACAGACTGTGGAAGGACACACTGCTGGGGACTGACTCTCATAACCTGCTGTTTTTATGCTTTTCACATCCTGTGGCACATGTCACACACCACTATGTTTATTAGTAACAAGCTTATATGTTTCATGGCAGCATTGGGCTACGATATGATCCACACCATTATAATTCATCATTGTGATATGAATAATATTGGACTATTGGAAAAGTTTCACCAAACATGTCATTGTTCTTTATTGATGGGGTCCCACTGAATGTGCGCTTTATATTTACTAGCCCCTGCCCCTCAGAGAGCCTCAGTCTGCCACTGTGGCCAGACCTTTTTAAGCACAAGCATAATCTTAGTTAGAGAATAAAAGGTTACTGGACAAGAGTTTTATTTGTCTGTTTTTTATCAACCTTAAGGTCTTAGATGTCTGGCAGATCAGCACTACTAGAGGTCACTGGGTTTCTGTTTGTGTGTAAACTCCTTCTAGCCTGCTGCTGAGGACTATGGTATCACATACCCTCATGTCTGTGTAGTTTCTTCTCACACTACACACTATAAATACAAGCTAATCAATTCACCTTGTTGTGCTTTATGGGTTTTAATATGTGAGAAACAAAGCCAACAAGATGGTTTCAAAGAGGCTTCAGATCCTTGGTATATCATTGGGGTTTATTGGCTTTTTAATGGTCATTGTGGTGTGTGCATTGCCTATGTGGAAGGTCACTTCTTTTATTGGACCCAACATCATCACAGCCCAGACCATCTGGCAGGGCATGTGGATGAACTGTGTGGTGCAGAGTACAGGCCAGATGCAGTGCAAGGTGTACGACTCCATGATGGTTCTGCCCCAGGACCTGCAAGCTGCACGTGCCATGACAGTCATCTCCATCCTAACTGGACTCTGTGGAGCGCTCTTGTCGGTTGTTGGTGGGAAATGCACTACCTTTATTGAGGACAAGCGATCCAAGGCCAAGACTTGCATCTTAGCTGGAGTTTTACTCATTGTCTCAGGGTTGCTTTGTCTCATTCCAGTCTCCTGGTCTGCCAACACCATCATCTCCAACTTCTACAACCCACTGGTGATTGAAGCCCAGAGGTATGAATTAGGAGCATCACTGTATATTGGCTGGGCGGCTACAGCACTGCTGCTGATGGGAGGAGGACTACTGTGTTGGAACTGCCAGCCAAAACATGAGCACCCCATCTAGGTACCCACATTTAGAACTGTGAAGTCAATCTCCACATCAAGAGAATATGTATAAGATCCTTCCTACAGTACATAGACTCTCCAGGCCACAAGAACTGCAACAGAGGGAAACGTTTGCTTTAAAACTAATATATATACAGACATTTTAAATATGACATGAAATCATAGCTTGCATGAGCTGAGTCGAGGGTTGACTGTGTTTTGTGTATTTGTCAAACATGCTCACAGTTGACGTTTTGTCTTGTCAGTCAGTTGTAATATCAGAACCTTTCACAAGCTTTTTACAATAAGTTGCTGGAATTTGAGCCCATTCCACCTGACAGAGCTGGTGGAACTGAATCAGGTTTGTAGGCCTCCTTGCTCATACACGCCTTTTCAGTTCCACCAGCTCTTTTCAGTTCTGCCCACAAATTTTCTATTGGGCTGAGGCCACGGCTTTGTGATGGCCACTCCAGTACCTTCACTTTGTTGTCATTAAGCCATGTTGCCACAGTTTTGCAAGTCTGCTTCCATTGTCCATTTGGACAATCCATTTGCCACCAAGCTCTAACTTCCTGGCTGATGTCTTGAGATGTTGCTTCAATATATCCACATCATCTTCCTTACTCATGAAACTATTTTGTGAAGTGCCCCAGTCCCTCCTGCAGCAAAGCACCCCTACAACATGATGCTGCCACCCTCATGCTTCACAGTTGAGATGGTGTTCTTTGGCTTGCAACATAACAGTTTTGACATAACAGTTATCATTATGGCCAAATAGTTCAATTGTTGTCCCATCAGACCAGAGGACATTTGTCCAAAAAGTCAGATTTTTGTCCCCATGTGCAGCTGCACACTGTAGTCTGCCTTTTTATGGTGGTCTTGAACCAGTGACTTCTTCCTTGCTGAGTAGCCTTTCAGGTTATGTTGATACAGGGTTTGTCTGTGGATATAGATACTTTGGTACCTGTTTCCTCCAGTGTTTCACAGGGTCCTTTGCTGTTGTTCTTTGATTTCTACTGTTCAGACCAAAGTACATTAATCTCCAGGAGACAGAACACGTCTCCTTCCTGAGCGGTATGATGGCTGTGTGTGTCCCATGTTGTTTTTGCTTGCATAGTATTGTTTGTACAGGTGCACCTCCTATTGACTCATATCATGTCAATTAGCCTATCAGAAGCTTCTAAAGCCATGATATCATTTTCTGGAATTTTCCAAGCTGTTTAAAGGCCCATTCAACAAAGCACATGTAAACCTCTCACCCACTGGAATTGTGATATAGTAAATTATAAGTGAAATAATCTGTCTGTAAACAAGTGTTGGAAAAATTACATATGTGCATTTTATCAACTGTTGCAGGTCTACAAAGCTCTGAAGGCTTGATGTTTTTGTTCTCTTGTGAAAGTTGTCATTCTTAACCACAGTGGATCATTATTGTTTGCTTTGTGTTATTTTATTCAACATCACAAGGTAAGGTGAGCAGATAACTGCACAGCAGTGGACATAAGAACATAAACATACTGTAATACTGTATGCAGGAAGCTGGTTTAATGAGTCATTACCCTGATAGTTTCCATAGGAATTAGAATGCACAGGCATGAGTATTCAGTACTGATGGCCCACGTCAACACATTTTTGTGATTTCAATGTGATTTGAATTATTCTCCAAGAAAAATACAGGAATGCATACAGTAGTAGCAGTGGTAACAACTATCCAGCTTTCACAGAACAAATTTTCACCAGTGGGTGCCAGTGTGGAAACGATTGTTGATGCAGTCTTAGGTTACTGAGTGTGGTGTGTGTGAAAAATGTGTGTCAACACTGTGTTTACTCAACAGAGGTCGCTGGATTTAATAGGTACTGTGTTGGTTTTATGAAATGCAGTTTGACTGCACTTTATGTGACTGGCTTCCTGTGATTGTTATCAACACTAAAACAGATAATCTCTCCCTCTCGGCTCAGGGCTGATCACATGTATTAACCAGGTCACGTTTTGTGTCCAGATCTGCTAAGGTCAATGTCTGATATGTTTTGAATGGTTTTAGCCTTAAAAAAAAAAAATTTAATTAAGCACAGTTAACACATTTAGAGTAACAACATGTCAGTTTCCTTTTTTTTCAAATTAATCAGTGACAAATATCTTGTGAAAACACAAATAATTAAAAGAAGCTTAGATCTACTTCTTTCCTTTTTTTCAAAATTGTCTCAATGTGGTAGCAAACTGTGTAAATGTCTTTAAAGTCAGTCTCTATTATGAAAAATAGAGACTTACACAGTCTCCTTAGACCTTCAGACTAGAATAAAATAGAAAATAATGGCTGTCATAGTGAAATAATCCCCATCTCTAGGTAATCTCCACCCATTAACTCCAGCCTTAACTGCAGAAAAATCTGCATATGAAAGTGTTTTCCAATAACAACAGCAAGGCATTGTTTAAAAATGGGTGCCACGCCTTTAACTCCAGGAGGAGGAATCTTGTTTGACTGGATGAGCTCACCTGACCACAGGACAGCCCTCCTCCCGTACATTCTCTGACAAACAACAAGTGAGAAAGCTGTGTCAGTCTGAAGGAGAAACAGGCCTCAACGCTGAAACACTTCTCTCTCCTGCTGCAGTCAAACCCTCTTCACCATGGGGAGGATTGGCAAGGAAGTGGTAGGTCAGATCTTGAGCTTCATAGGCCTTGTTGGGGTGGCAGTGGCTACTGGGATCCCCATGTGGAGAGTGACCACCTATATCGGAGCCAACATTGTGACTGGACAAATAGTGTGGGATGGTCTGTGGATGAACTGTGTGATGCAGGCCACTGGACAGATGCAGTGCAAGATACAAGATTCTGTGATGAGCCTGTCCTCAGATCTGCAAGCTAGCCGAGCTCTTGTCATCTTGTCCCTCGTTATCGGCTTCATTGGCTTCATAATCAGCATCCTTGGAGCCAAGTGCATGAGCTGCCTGAAGAAAGATTCATCGCAGGCCAAGGTGGTGATCACAGCCGGCTTTCTCATCATTGCTGCTGCTATCCTGATCCTGATCCCTGCCTGCTGGTCTGCATCTGTCACCATCACAGACTACCAGAGCACCCTTACAATTTCAACACAGAAGAGGGAGCTTGGTGCCTCTATCTACATCGGCTGGGGCTCTGCCGCAATTCTTCTGATTGGAGGGATCATCCTAACAACTTCCTGTCCTCCTCAAAAACCCATGTATGGATACCCAGGTTACCCACCAGCACCAATGTACCGTTATACAGGCCCAGCAAATTATGGCCCTGTTTATGCTCCCCCATCCAGCGCACAATACACAGGCACACACCTACCAAGCAAACCATATGCAGTACCAGCCACGCACGCTCCTTCACAGTACATATAAAAACTGAAGGGACAGACTGAAGAGAAGGACTGAGACTTCTGCCATGGTGGCTTCAGGAACTTGCTATGCCTTTAGAAAGTAAAACTGCACCTAAATAAAAGCTGTCTCTGTAGGATGGTATGTATACCAGTACACTGCATGGATGGATGTAGAATGTATTCACTCAAACAATCACTGTCATTGTTATAATTGATTATTATGAATGTTTCATCAAATGATTCATTATTTGGATTGATTTTGTGCTCTGGGGTAAAATTCTTGTTTATCAATTCTTGACATATGAAGAATGTTGTGTCTATTTGGTTGTGTACAGTGAAGCTTCCAATGCTTTTCATAAGAAAGTTACTGTTGGTATTTATTTCCTTGTCATTCAAAGCATATTTTGTACATAATGATGTTTGTTGTCTGTGAATGCCACTTTATTTTGAGGTTATTCAAAAGAATTTCAATAAAATGTTTGTAGTATATACAGTTACCTGTTTGTGGAGTCATTGTCATAACATGTTATTATTTTATACAGTATTTTGAAATATCTACGAAGGTAAGCTCTGACAGTCCTTCTGTGTGTCTGTGTTTATAAATCTATAAAAATACAATGCTAGTATAATAACAGAGGATTTTCTTATACCCCCTGGTATTTAATTTTAATCACTGTAAATTCTGAGTTTACTAAAATCTTAAAGAGGATTTTGTAGTGAACCAAATGAACTGCAGCACTGATCAGCATGAGACATTCTGTCAAGTATTTCCTAGAACTATTTGAAAAATATGTGGTAATTAAACAGACGTAATGGATAAACCCAGGAAAATGGAGCCATAAATGGAGATTCATGCTGTTAACATCCACTGCTACTCACACCTTGGTGTTCTTTCTCAAACCTGAAACCTGTAACTGGATCTGATCTTCCAGTAACCTAGCCAATTAAAGCCCAGCCATTGGTTGAACATTGTTTGAATGAAGAATGCAGTGCCTCTTTACGGGCCTCATTTACATACGCGCACTCTTTTAAAACTGATGTTTATCTTATCGAAACCATTCTGTTCCACTCTCATCGAAAGCATTCGGTCTGCATTCAGATAATGTGAAGATTCTGGTTGGACAGGAAAGACGTTGAGCACACTGGTTTCAGGTCAGAGGGAAGGATATTCTGACTCCACCTTCAAGAAAGACATCCTTATAGCTGAGAGATATGTGCCCCAGTCTGTATTCAACTTGAAAACCTGAGCTGAGCTGACCTGCTCCTACACCTTCCTCTCCTCTGCTTCTCTTCAGCTGCCCGTGACTCCAACAAGACCTCATCATGGTATCAATGGGACGACAGGTCCTGGGCCTTGCCCTGTGCATCGTGGGCTTCTTGGGTGCCATCATTGTGTGTGCCTTGCCAATGTGGAAGGTCACGGCCTTCATTGGAGCCAACATTGTGACGGCGCAAATTATCTGGGAAGGCTTATGGATGAACTGTGTAATGCAGAGCACAGGCCAGATGCAATGCAAGATCTACGATTCTATGCTGGCTCTTCCTGAAGACCTTCAGGCTGCCAGAGCACTTGTGGTCGTCGCCATTATTGTTGCAGTCTTCGGGATCCTGCTGGGTATCGTTGGAGCTAAGTGTACCAACTTTGTGGAGGACTCAAATTCCAAAGCCAAGGTGGCTATTGCTGCTGGAGTTGCTTTCATCTGTGCCGGTGTTCTCGTCCTTGTTCCTGTCTGCTGGTCTGCCAATACCATCATCAGGGATTTCTACAACCCCGTCCTGATTGATGCCCAGAGGAGAGAGATTGGTGCTGCACTCTACATCGGCTGGGGCACAGCTGCGCTCTTCATCCTGGGTGGTGCACTCCTCTGCAGCTCCTGCCCACGCGATGACATCCAAGAGTATCCAGTCAAGTACGCTGGTCCAGCCAGGTCCACAGCCACTAGCAAAGCCTACGTCTGAGAGCTCCCTCCTCCTGAGAAGGACTATAAACTATTTTACTTTCCTTAAGTAACCCTCCTTGGTTGTGAGCCTTTGATAATGCCACAAGTTGTGTCTCACTGTTTATTCAAAGTGAGAACTGATTGTCTGAGAAATTCAGAACTTTTGGGTGGAGGCAAGAGTGTTTCTTGAGGAATGAGGAACACATTACCAAGATGTGGTGTGAAACTACCGAAATGACAAAAAAAAAAACCTTCCAGCAGCATGATGCCTGGACTGAATGAGAGCTGTTCTTTATTAAGCTTGTATCAAACCTCATTTTCCTCTGAATATTTGGCAAATCGAAGCTATGGTAGAAGAATGTTAATGGTCAGCGTGAGCTACATTGGAAGAAAATTTGTACAGTACCACTAATATGTTGTGAATTTATTGTATAAACTATTGTTTGCTAGCAATATCCAAAGACTTCTTTTGTTTATTGAAATTTTTCATTGTTAATAAAGCATTTACTTAATTGATATTCTTTTGTCAAGGTGTGTTTTAGTTCATCCAGAGCTGAGCAAATTCTGCCCCAAGACTGTAGGTCTGTCTTTCTGTTGTTTACATTTAGATTTTTAGATTGTAGTTGACAGTCAGAGCAACTTAAAATGAAAGCAACTGTAACATAAAATAGATAAACAACCAGTAACAGAGATATAATAGAAATACTGCTTTACTACAGTGAATATTCATGTCAACAAGTTCAAGGCAAAATCAACCTTAAAGTGAATTAAACATCCGTCCACTAGAGGCAATGAGCCAGAAATGCCAATCACGTCAGACTGAAAAGTAAAGGGGCTGAGGAATGCAGCAGCGACCCAGTCGTTCATGCTGGATGTCAAAAAGAATGTTTATGACCAAATAGATTTATTTTAGAACAGCTACTCATGGAAAATAAAATTCTCATGGTTTAGAATTCAAAGAGGCCACAAACTGTAAAGTGTAACTGAGCAAAAGGCAGTGTGATAACAAAGTGTATTTAAAAACATCCAGTTTGTTCCAGCTCTTCATGTAGATGTTTAACTAGTTCAACCAGTTTTACAATCCTGTCAAAGCCTTTTAAAGAACCGGCCACCATGTGTTAGTACCAAGAAGAGCCCTACCCCCACACTGCTGGCGTTTCAACAGTCAGAATGGTGTCTGCCTCTATTTGAACAAAGAAAAAGCTAAATACAGAGCAACGCTAGGACTGATTGTGACAGATAACTAGACAATCCTCGAGTGGTTCACCACAGATAATACACATCTTTTTATTAGTTTCTCCAGCAAACATTGTTTTGGAGGGAGATGGGGACAGGTCCTCCTCTGTGTTGATATGAATATATCATCCAGTCACTAAATACTTGGTTGATCCATATTTTGTTGCACTCCAGTGCTCTGGTGCTGGAATTCAACAATAAAGATGACGTTTAGGTCCTGGGTTCCCATTTTGAAGGATGCGGTCTGTGTTATTCTACACTGTTGTTAGTGTAAACAACGAAACCAACACTGTCTCTTGGTATTTTCTGACTCCTCAGTCTCTGGCTCTCAGTATCAAACACACTAGTTTCTACTGATGGTGCAAATCTTTATGTATAGGTCACAAATGTACAGAATACTTTCACTTTTAAAATTCTAAAAATTAATTTATTAAAAACTATTTATCTAAATGGATATTTTACATGAAAAACTGCACCCAGAAGGTCTCAGTGAGGAATTATCATTAACTTGTTTTACTACTGTATTTCTGATATTTTTAAAGATTTTTCTTCTTCTTCTTCTTCTTTCTTATATCTATAGTACCTGTGTTTCTCTATTTCTATATGTATAATACATATTGTATGAACGCATAGTGGATCTACAGCTTGATTGATATTCTTTTCTTCATGGAGGTTGTGTGATTAGATAAAAAAACAAAACAAAAAGTCAGTGTCACTGTGGTACCGGTGTTTTTGACAGCCCTCTGGCACAGGGGAATGCACTATACAGGTTTCTGCTTTTGGCTACACATTCAATACATAGAATATGCTGTAGTTTTTTAATTTTCATGGGAGTTTTTGACAAGAAAAAGTCAAATTCTTTTTATTTTCAGGGACAGCACACAATGAACACCAGTAAAGTCCATTATAGAGAGGACACCCAAAGTCACCTTAACACAGTTCAAACAACATTACATAAACACACATACAACCCAAATAAAATCATAACTTATCCAAATGATTATTATTGTAATAGGTCCCCTAATGTTGTCTTTTTTTTACCTTTTGCCATCTCTAACCTTGCCCAGTGTGACATCAACAGTGATTTGAAAGTTCTAGTACAGCCAAACACCTATGAAGGCATCAGATTAGAAAAAGCTTCTGTTTTATTTAAAGACTGTTACAAATTATGCATTTTGACATAAATTTACAAAAACCTATGATTCACATTGTGTTGCATTCAGGAAGTTACCTTTGTATTTTTCTCACATTGTAAAAAACATCTCATCACAAACCTGACATCAGCAGAGGGCGTTGCACTGGTGTGAACACACCTTGCTCTGTCGGTCCATTTGACTAGGTATCACATTCTTACGTTCCCCTTTACAATTGCAGAAAAAAATCTCCCTGAACCAGTTGTGGATAAATGATTCACCCGATCACTGATGTCAAAGTAGACAATGAAGCAACAATCTAGTCCAACACTGTGAGACTGAACATTTGGTTTCAGTAAATGAATCAAGTATCCAAGTATTTCTCATGTTTCAGTTTGTATGATTTGCCTTTTCTAAGAAGGATATTACCTGCTCTTGTACTGTTTGATGTTATTTTCAGCTTTTTAAAAGCTTTTATACATATAAACAAGTGTAGCTGTAACCACCTCGATGGATAGAAATACAAAAACCATCTGATTTTGTGTGGTGTGATGTGTTTCCTTTAAAAATGCTTTAAAATTAAATTAAAATTAATTAAAATTAGAAACCTCAAATAAAATAAACTGAGTTGCTTATTAATGAAACTAAACAAAATTGAAAGCAAAATGTCAAACACACTTCACCACGAGTCAAAACACTTTCCCATTGAACTGAATGAGAAAGTGGAGATATTTGACTGGTAGTGTGTTTAAAAGTGTTTTGAAATATGCCACAAATACAGATACAAAAATGTCTGCTGCTGATAAAGACCTTTAACATGAGCAGAGACAAATGTTTATACTGTTAAATTTTGCTTCTACCATCAGAGTAGTGAACAGAGAACAATAGATTGCACTGAAATAAATTGCTCTTAAACCAGACAACTACTATAAGGCACAATATGGCGGGACAACTAGTGCTGATTAAATAGTGTCACGACGTCTCAACAGTGGCTTGATTCCTGTACATGCACACATGCAGGTACTGCAGATTTCTAAAGCGCATTTATTTGTTTTCATTCCACTGTGTTCCTGACAAGATTCCAACAGGCTGGAGATATTTTCTCTTAAAATTTGTTCAGTATGATTCTCAGGCAGCAGTGATTTACTTTGAGCTTGGAGCCTTTCTTTACATTGGCTGGGGGGCTGGGACACTGCTGGTCTTCAGAGGGGGGCTTCTTTGTGCCAACTGCCCTTCCAGGAACGATGAGACCCCCTTTGTGACTTATCTCCTGAGCAAGTCTGGTGGAAACAGCATAGAGGATTCATTCTCATCTTTCCAAAAGACAGATATTTAAGTTTTCTAAAGAAACGCACAGATATCTGGTTGACGACTGGTTTTGCCTTCAAGAAGTAACAGAAGTTGGATGTGAAGCAACAAGAACAACAAAAAAGCAACAAATAAAAAACCCAAATGCATAAAACATGTACTTTGTCCTCATAAGTGAATCAAATGTTGCTCTTTGTCTGAGATTGCTTTAAATATGGTTGTTACACTTGGGTCTCGTTATAGAAACTGTCTTTATGTGTCTGGGAAAGTGGGTGACTTCATTTTTTAGTTGGCATCTTTGGGTTTTTAAATTTTTTTGTAGAACAAATGACATTCTCTTGTATTTTTTTCTCTCATGCTTCTTGTTTACACACATAAAAAAAAAAAAAATGCCCCTATGGTTATTCAAACCAGACTCTGAGAGAACCTGTTTGTCAGGTACTTACCTGAGTTCACTACCCAGGGAACAAATATGGGCTTGCAATCTTGTCGGATGATGTGTTTGTTAAAGCATGCCATGATTCTAAAGTTTTGTCCAACACTGTCAAAGTTTATAAGGTCCTTAGATATTCTGCTCTATGAGACAGAAACAGATTAATAAATTCAAAGGGGGTGTTCGAAAGAGTCACAAAATGTATGTTCCATTTTACCGTCAGAATCTCAAATTAAGATCTGACTTTCATATAAGGTTTACATTTGAAATGTTGACTTTAGTTCACAGCCACATCAACCTGAGGTTGTATTTAGCTTTTGTGATCATACTGCCACCTAGAGGCACTTTGCCTCCATGGCTAGAAAATCCCTGTTGTTTAATCTAATGAGATCCATTACAGGAAACAACTTCGGCTTTAGAGAAAAGATCTGTTGTTTTGCATCTTTTCTTATCATACCTCCTATTTCTTTAGTTCATAATCTTTAGTACATACTCTTAGGTTGAAATGAAAACTCATAAATGGACATTGTGTTGACTTGACATAGATGAATGGTTTTATATTAATAAATAAAACTTAACTGATCACAGCAAAATATCAGCATGTGATAAAAGGGAGATTACATTTGTCCATTCTGTATAAAGATTCCACATTTTTTTGTTTCAGGGTGTAAAACGACTGCCTGCTGTCCCATGGCTCTGCAGGAGCTGGGCATCAGCCTATCTATGATAGGTGTCGCTGGGACCTTCCTGATCTGCGCTCTGCCCATGTGGAAGGTGACAGCATTCATTGGCAACCATCTGGTGGTCATGCAGGTGTTCTGGGAGGGGCTGTGGATGACCTGTGTCAGTGAGTACACAGGTCAGATGCAGTGTAAACTTTTTGATGCCCTGCTGGACCTGTCACCAGACCTCCAGGCAGCCCGGGGCCTCATCTGCATTAGCATGGTGCTGGGTTGCCTAGGATTCCTCATCTTCCTCCTAGGAGCACACTGCACCAACTGCTTGAGCCACCCGAGGATAAAAGCTCAGGTGGTGCTGAGCTCTGGAGCCATCTTCTGCCTGGCATCCTTCACCACCATAGTTGCTGTCTCCTGGACAGCCAACTCCATCATCCATGACTTCCACAACCCCCATGTCCCTGAGGTACTGAAGAGAGAGCTTGGAGCAGCCATATATATAGGCTTTGTGACCTCTGGGCTGCTGTTCTGTGGGGGAGCCATTCTGTGCACAAGCTGCCCACCACAGAGGTCCAGGTTCCCCTCCAGTGGGTACTCACAAGCCAGGATACCCACACACAGCAGCTACGCCATCAAGAACTATGTGTGAAATGAGGAGAAGGAGCTGAACACACCAATACATCACAAACAACTCACCACTTCACCATATATGTAATGAACCGTGCTGGCTATATAGAGCCAAAGAAAAGTATGTGAACACATTGGAAAGATCTGGGTTTCTGCAGTAACTGGTCCTAAAATGTAATCTGATCTTGATCTAACATCACAACAAATGTCATCTCAAGACACTTTACACAGTAAGGTCTAGGCCTTATTATTATTATTAAGAAACCCAACAAATCCCCCTGAGCAGCACTTGGCGACAGTAGGGAGGAAAAACTCCCTTTAACAGAAGAAACCTCCAACAGACCCCGGCTCTTGGTGGGCGGCCTTCTGCCTCGACCGGTTGGGGTGAGTGGATAGAGGAGAGACCAAAGAAGAAAAGCAACAAGACACAACAAACAATCAAACACTGGTCAAGTTGATGTGGCCGGTGACATAAGCAGCATAACTAAAGGAAGGCTCAGGGTCACCTGATCTAGCCCTAACTGGTGTCCACGTCCTGAACTGAGACTGGTAGCTGGTTCCATGGGAGAGCAGCTTGATAGCTAAGGTGCTCTGTTGGGATGATAAGGCACCTTGAGGTCTTTAAGATATGATGGAGCCTTGTCATTAAGGCCGTTGTATGATAGGAGAAGGAAGGACCAGTTTTTCAGCATCACTTTGAGACAGGATGCTCCTGATTTTGGATATTGTACAGGTGAAAGAAGGCAGATCTAGAGACTTGGTTTATGTGTGATTTAAAGGACATATCCTGATCAAAGATGACTCCAAGGCTCCTCACACAAACAATTATACTCTTTTTCTGATTAGCTTCTATTTATGTCTGTACACTAGGGGTTCACATAATTTTGCCAATCTACACTGTGATTTTTCAAGTAATACAATGATGTTTGTGTTATTAATTTCAATAGACTGTGTTTGTCCATAATTTAATATACATGAAGATCTGACCATATTTTAAGACAAATATATACATTAGTCAGGGCTCACTTACTTTTCTCTTGCAACTATACAGACAATATATAGATAATAATAATGATAAACATAAACATACTGACATAAATGTATAAAAATATATGAAAAGACTCTAGAAATATGCTGCAATATGTTATCATTTTTCTCTGGGGTGGAACACATGGATTCTGAAGACCATTATCAGTTCAGTCCCTATAGTTCTGTTCAGTGTGGTGTCAGTGTCAATACAGGCCAAGTACAAAACACTTGTCAATCACTTTTCAAACATTTCAAAGTGTTGTTGTGAAATGTGCAGCTGAATTATAAGGCCTCCATACTGAGAAAATACTGTATACTGCACATCATTGTATGTCTGACACTAGCTGACATCTCAGCATTTGAAATAACTGCAATCTGTCATTTGGATTTTCTAGTCTTATGAAGAATTATTTGTTGCCACTTCCTTATGAAAGAGGATGTTTATATAACCCTGTAGCTGAATGTGCATGCACTTCAACGCTGTAGAAAAGTTATTAATCATGTTTTAGTCCCTTTTGTTAGTGACATAATAAACTGAGAACGTTTCCTAAGCTAAAAGCTCCAAATAAATATTGTATTCATGTGCCAGCTGAATAACTATTATGCAGTGAGAAAAGCAGTTCAGTCGAATGAGGTGTCATTGTTGTTCTCCACCCACTACTGTGAAGACACAGTCCTAATATCAGTAGAGAGGCTCTTTAAATCAAATCTGTGTCAGAAACACAACCCGGTGGCTGAAACATGTGAGCACAGTGCAACCTTTGTTATTCCCCCGTCAGCACAAACTGGGAGAAAAGGATTGTTTTCAAACCATGGCAGAACAAACAGAAGGATTTCCCTCCTCCACCCAGCTGCAGCCTGCAGTCACACCGTGCCTTCTTCTCCTAATGAATACCAAAAAACTGGTTTCCCCTTTCTGAACAGACATGCAAAACCAACAGACACACATACTGTGTTCATGCACACACATGCTGAAATACCCCACCCCGCTGCACTCCGCTGCCAGCTGTTTCTGGTTAGGTGGCTGGGCCTGCAGTGAAGAGGAAGAGCACGCAGGCCAGAGCCATGAAGCGGCAGCTGGAGTTTGCTGCCCTCGGTCTGGCCCTCATAGGGTGGCTCTGTGCCATTCTGACACGCTGCTTGGCCTTGTGGAAAGTGAGCGGCACACTGGACAACGCCACGGCTACTCTGCCTGCCTACTGGGATGGGGTATGGCTGGAATGGGATCACTGGGACTTGGCCCATGATGGCAGCCTGCATTGTTCATTCTATCAGTCTCTCTTGTCTCTGTCAGGAAGTTTTCGGACGTGGAGAGCCCTCATCATGGCAGCCATCGGAGCTGGGGGTTTTGCCGTGGTGATTGGTGCAGCGGGGGTGGTGTGGTTCCCTCTGCGTGGCCAGGTCAAAATCTTTTCTGGTGCTCTCTTTGTTTTGTCTGGGATTCTGCTGCTGGTTCCCATATCCTGGACGTGCCATCACACCAGTCAGCCACTCGGGGGCACTGTGATGCTGAGGAGAGACTGGGGACCTGCTCTGTACCTTGGATGGATCTCGTTTGCCTTGATGCTGGCTGGAGGGGTGTTTCTCACCACCAGATGCCCCAGTGGTCAAAGACAGGCTCAGCAGGGTCAAGAGGGCAGTTATCCGACTCAACCGGTGGAGGCTAGTCACCCCCTGAACAGGATCAACAGGACTACATTCACACACAGCCAGTATGAACACAGATCAGGGGCCATCTGAGGGGACTGTGATGTTATTTTTACCTAAGTGTGAATGAACAGCTATAAAATGGTGACTATGTGAAATGTCTGTGAGTAGATTTAACAGCACAGGAAACCTTCTGGCTGCACATGTTGAGTAATGATTCACTGGTTTAACTAAGCATGAACTTAACATTTGAATGCACAAACACATCAACGTGTCAGTGAACTACCTTTAGTAACAGGGTGTTGATAAGACTTTGAATTTACATTTTATTAGTTTTACTTTCCATTCTACTGAACCTAACACTGTATCTACTGCATAGTATTGTTTTACATTCAATCCTCACTTCCCCATTTCAGTTTTACTGTAAAGTATTTCTAAAAACTAAAAACATCTCTCAGTCCTCTAATACTATTACTAGTTGCACAAAAACAGAGTCATCCAATTTCTTATATGTTTGGTCCATTGAGAGTGACAAATGTTTACATCTGAGACTGATTCTTCTGCAGAAAAAGCACATTGTGGAATAAAGCATTGCAAATGATTCTGAAATGTTTATGAATATTATTTGACTTTAGTCATGCATTATAATGTTTAACTCAATATGCCACAGGGGCACTGGTGGTTAGCGCTGTCACCTTGCAGCAGGAAGGTTCCAGGTTCGAGCCCAGGCTGACCCAGTGCCTTTATGTGTGGAATCTGTGTGTTCTCCCTGTGCCTGCATCTCTCTGGGAACTCCAGCTTCCTCCCACAGTCCAAAGCAGCTTAGGTCATTTGGTGAGTCTAAACTGTCTGTGGGAGTAAGTGAGTGAGTGGTTGTTTGTCTAAGTGTCAGCCCTGCGATAGACTGGCGACCTGTCCAAGGTGGACCCCGCCTTTCACCCGATGTCAGCTGGGATTGGCTCCAGCCCCCCTGAGGTACAGATAATGGATGGATGGCACAGAGCACTTGAGGAGGCAAAAAGGTGAACCCAGAAAAATTCACTGTAGTCATTTATTTTTAGTATTTGTTCTTTTAAAAACAAAAGGTGGTGACAGAAAGGAAGCAGTCAGTATCTGGTAAGTTGAAGCATACAAAGTATTCAGATGTAAATCATGAAATGTGAGCTGGACTTTTCATACTTCTATTTAACAGGTCTTTAGTGGGACAGTCATGTTTCAGAATACAGAACACAGCACACAGGCACTTCCACTTTGTCAAAACCTGACAGAAAATATTGATTCTCCCAAACTCTGTGTATGTAGGAAAATGTAAAAAGAGCCCCTCACTTCTTTCAGTTATTTGATTTTAACGTGATCCCCAAAGTCTCTGTGACCATATTCTGCAGTCAAACCTCTGAACCTTTTCTGTTTCCCACTATCATTTAGCAAATACCTACTGATGTATCACAGACTCTCAGCTACAGAACATCATGTGCTTAAAATCAAAATAATGTAAAAAGGTACTACTATAGCAATATTGGCAAGAACTTCACTGAACTTTGTGAATATAAAATCTGGTACAATATTTTAAATAGTGTCTAATTCTATACAGCACTTTTTCATAAGGGGTACAACAGAGATAGACATACTTTAATGTACAGTATCTCCTTTGAATATGAATGTTTTTCTGTTTTTAAAGCGCTGACATATCAGACATGGTGTTCTGCTAAACTGTGATACACTTGTTTTTAAATCAACTGTGTGCATATATAAGGAAAATCGCTGGGTTTACACATTAAACCCATTAGATTTTGTTAAATATTTATTTGCTCTTGCAGGAAGTATGATCCTGATCATAAATATAGTCTCTTAAATGAGCGAAGCATGTTAGTGTGGATAAGGTGCCTAGTCCTGTCAAGCTGGGTTACTATAGTTTCTCATCTCCCTCCTCCACATCCTTGAGGCTGACAACCTCCAGAGAGCCTCGGCCTTTGGTCTCACAGCGGATCAGCTCGTCAATCTCCCTGAAGCAGCCGGGATCCACCAAACACACCTGAAGGCGAGGAGAAGGAAAGAGGCACAGAGGAGAAACAAAGGCATCCGTTCATACAGAGAAATCTTACAAAACAGGAGGCAAAGAAAGTAAACTGAGTTTAAGATTTTAGAAAAAACAAAACTTTAAAATCATAGGTTCCACTTTAAATTTAGCTGATGTCTGATTGTGATTCCCAACTGCAGAGACCTGCAGTCTTGAACATATATATGTACCATTCAGTGATGGTAGAGATGAGTCAGTCGCACTCAGAAACACACAGTGGTTTCTCACCATTTCCAGCTGCTCATCAAAGTCTTCACTCTCCACGACCTGCAGGAGTGGCTTAAGCTTCTCCTTCAGCTGCTTGGCCTCTTTGGCTGGCAGCACCAACCGAAGCCTCATGTGGGCTCTCTGGATCGGCATGGTCTCCTTCAGCTGCCTGATCACTTCCAGAGCCTGGGAACAGAACACAAGTATGAAAGGATCATCGGTCTCTGTCATGAAAGTCTGAATAAAGTGAAGGGAAAAGGAAATCACACTCTGGGTGGACACTGGCTCCAGGAAACAGAAAACTGTAGTGTCTCTGTCACATTGAAAATGTATTTGGTGGTCAAAGCAGTGGTAGTCACAGTGGAAAACATCACATTCATGACAAAACTTATTGGTTAAGAACTTGGTTTTCTACATTAGTGATACATAAATAGTACACAAAAATAAAATGAATCTGTGTTATTATAATCCCGATCAAGCAAACCAAAGTGACCTGCTGTTTAGTGCTCTTGTTGGCCTTGACAGAGTAGTGGATTTCCTTCATCGCCCGCTCGATGAGGATGACTGTGTATGGTCTCTTGGTCTCCGGGTTGACACACTTCTCAACCACTATAGTTGCAATGTCCTTGAACATCATGTCCAACTGAGTATGCCTTTCCCTTTCGGACACTTGGAGCTCTCCTTTGGTCAAGATCTACTCGCAAACAGAGCAACACAGAGAAGGTCAGGGAGTGACAATGAACACTGAAAGGCAGGTAGCCGGGGAGCAGAGCATTCAGGTACCTGTTTACAAATCTCTGTCTGATCATCTGTCCCAAAAGCTTTGGTCAAATCATCCTTCTTTGCCACCTGACCCTTGGAAACATTCACGAAAACAGAGTGTGTCTGCAGAACTTCATCCAGGTCTTTCTCTCTGAAAGAAAACACCAAGCTTGGACTTTCAGATATGTTTATTCTTCTCGCTAGCTTTAGCATATTTAGCTGAAGGTCTAACGTTATAACGGAGCATCGAGAGGCATTAACCGTACAGACTAGAGGATTTAATTAGACATTTTATAAAGCACAAACGGTAAAAATCCGTTAAATTTGAATGGCAATGAACAGTGTTGCTTTTAACATTTAACATGACTCACGCTCCTGATCTCCAATTCATAACTTTATTCTTGTAGCAGGCGATTTCAAACCGCTTCCCTCCTTTTTTCATCCTCACCACGGCCACATTTGTCAGGCGTATTTGATTTGTAGGCGTAAATATCGACATGTTTGTATTTAACAAGACAGAAAGCTCTGTTCAAATGGCTGCTGACAAGAAAAATTGTGAAATTACAGCGTCGTAACTTTGTTCTGAGTGCGCTCCCAATAAGTGTCTCAGTTGAAACAAGAGTCAAGAAATGGTTCCGTGCCTGTTTGTTTCTTTTGTTGATTTGAGTAATTTAGTGACGTGTGACAATTAAAAATGATTGAAGCTACTTCTGATAAAATTTAATTTCTTACAAAAATTAATGCTGATGAAATAATATTAAAAGTGTCAGAAACAACTGCTGTCATAAAGATTACCAGAATGCATGGCACCTAAATAATATTAAAAAATCTTTGTTAATATTTGGATTATTCCCGTTGGTGAACGCGCTGTATTTTCTAGCTTTAATTATAAAACAAATCAACACAACGCTTTGTTAGTTCGTCTCTGAGCACTTCCGTCTGTTCACTGTATTTTGAAAGTATTCACCGGAAACGTTATTATGCTTTTCTTCTTGCACTAGCGCAAGCTTTACTCATTTAAATATTGCAGTTTTGACATGTGACCACTAGAGGGCAGTAAACGCATCATTCTGAATATACAGGCCAACCTGTAATGGACAAATTACATAACGCAATTCCATCTTTGTCCACAAGAGGGAGGTGCAGTCCATGGAATCATCAGTCAATGGGAAACACTCGTGAGTTTTGACCATAGAGCTGTTAGAGGAGAACAATTTATCTGGAGGGCAGACACAGGTGATGCAGGCGCGAGCTCATTTTTATTTTATTTTAGCTAAGTGTCGTATATTTTTATTTATTTTGTGTGCAGTGATGATTGAATTAGGCTGTTGACTCTCTCACGACGAGAACTGAGGTTGATACAATCACATTAAATCCAGTAAAACCAAATCTTGGACATTTAAACAGCAAGACAATTGACGGTCAATTGAACATAGTTTACCAGTAGTACTTCCGGTGGATATATTCAAAATAAAACCTTTGAACCGGCAGATGTAAATAGGCGTTGTAACTGAGGGAATCGTTACATTAGTAGAAACAGAATATGTGATTTGTGCAAGACGTGGATATGTTTTTTTTTTTTCTATTATACGTCTTCTGTGAATGTGCGTAGGCTTCTTTGAACGTAACGCCAAACAAACTACTACATATCCCAGTATGCTTTTCGGCCAAACAAGATGGTTGCACACATCACTGGGTGAGGAGGACTGGGTATTTTAATGTACCTTTTACAGCTATGCCGAGTTTTTTCGTAGTATTTTTGCTCTTCGTAAGGTGTGCGTCTACGTCGGATATAAAAGGTGAGCTTGTTTGATTTGACGACTGAATTTGAAACTAACTTTACGTCATCTTTAAGCTAACGTTCAGATAGCATTGTTAGCTCGCATGCTTTGCTAACCACTCACCCCCAACTTTTTACCTGTCTTATATGGCTTAAAGTTGGGGGGGTTTATTCTGTGGTCTTGTTGCTGTTGTAGGATTAGCCACTCTCTGGTAAAATGATTGCTGTAGTGCATTAGTACAAACAGAGAAGTGTTTGTTGTGTTGTCTCCTTCCAGCCTCACAGAATGGCCACAGTCCCACTGAGAGCGTTCTCATGTCAATGTGGCACAACAGGCTGTACCTGTATTCAGCTGTTGCACTTATCTTTGGGATCTGGTTCTCACTGAAGCTGGTACTGAAGAAGGTGAACCGTCACTTGCTTGTAGCACCTCCCTCACTTGTGTTTTCTCTTAGACATGTTTTCTTTATAGACTTTCTAACAGTGTGTGTTTTGTGTTTAGGCACTGCTTGCGTTTCCAGACTTTAAGATTTTTCACATCTTCCTCTGTATTCCTGTAGAAAAGCTTATCCAAAAATGACAGGTTGAAGACCTACAAAACTGTTAAGAACAGCGACCGCTCTCACGCTGACACCGTGGCTCATGTGTCAGGAGTTAAAATCTTCTATGGCTCACAGACTGGAACAGCAAAGGTAAACACGTTGTTTACTGTCAATATAAACATCCTCAATGGCTCATGATGACACAAGATTAAGAGTGATTGTCCTTATCCTTATCCTTCAATGTAGCAACACCAGTCAGTGTGGCCTCCAACATGACCACAGAGTTTAATCAGTCTCTGACAGTGTCATAAGAATCTAAATGCTACACGTTTCACAAGAATAGGATTTACTGGTAACCCTAGTAAACCATCACCATGTGTAAACAAATTCAGTCACAATGGATTAATTCAAGGTTAGACAAACTGGCAGCTCACACATACAACATTTAGGATTCAGAGATGTCTGATGAGCATCAACCGAGACCCTTCATTTGTTCAGGGCTTTGCAAGAGAGCTGTCGGAGGAAGTGAATGCTCTGGGAATACCAGCTGAGGTAACTGACATGAAAGACTACGATCCTGATGACCAGCTTGCTGATGAGGTAAGCCAGCTTGACAGAGGCTGTCCAGTGAAGGACAGAGATCTGGACAAAAAGAAACAAGAAACTGTGTCCTTGAACAAAAACCTAATCCCCTGCTAATTTTCAAGCTGCTCCTCAGTATTTAGCCTTTATTTTTGACTTTGTATAAATGAAATCACTAATTAATGCACCTGCTGCAGCTCTGATAAGAGGATAAGCACACTGTATATAATGTAGTTGCTCTGGGGTGTTCATTAAGTCTCTTACATGTAACGTCAAGCACACAAGTCCTGTCGGCGTCTACTGTAATTAGAGCAGAATGTGTAATACATCATACGTAACTGTTGTTGTACAGAAAGACTAACAACACAACACACAGTAATGGTCAGCTGCCTCACTACCCGAGTTTTCTGCTGGTTTGCACACGACCAAGGAGACGATGGGAGCTTAATTTAGATTTAATGTAGATTGATTTCCTGCTGTCCTTGGCATAAAATTTTAATCCCGGAGGCAAGTTGGCAGAAGCAGTTGTGTAATTATTTACCACATAGCATCCATAAAAAATAATTGCTGAAAATGGGAAGTTATTTTCTAGGAGCAACTTGGTCATGATGCTCTGGTGCTTTGCAGGATTTGGCTATGACTTGCAGTAAGTGTGGAACTTTGTTCCCAAATTTGTTTCGGTCAGAAATGGATTAATGAACAGCTGAAGAATGCTGCTGTTCACAGTATCCAAGGACAAGTCTTGGCCCAAGAAACCCTGCTTTTCTAAATGTGTCCCCTCCTTGTGCTGACTGAGACGCTCTTGTCACTGTCTGCTGTTTGTCTCCAATCAGTGCTCCAGTAAATCAGTGTGCGTGTTTCTTGTGGCCACGTACACTGATGGGCAGCCCACAGAGAACGCCGAGTGGTTCTGCAAGTGGCTGGAAGAGGCGTCCACAGACTTCAGATATGGGAAGACCTACCTCAAAGGCCTCAGATATGCGGTGTTTGGTCTTGGCAACTCGGTCTATGTTGGCCACTATAACACGGTGAGAACTAGTCCTGTCAAAATTGGCCAAAAAATGACATTTTATTATTTGTCTTAGCAAGAACTCTGCATATTCAAACCATTCAAACATCTATTTCTGCACATTATGTCCGTAGGAGGGCAAACTAACACAACAAGAGACATTACTACTTGTAAATGTGTATTTATTTTAACACAAACATCTTTTTAAACGTCAACATATCTACACATTCTGCGAGTAGGGATAGCATACTGTGGTTCTAATCCTTGACAGAACTCTCTGAAGCCTGTTCCACCTTCCACCACTAGCAACCCGAGGGCCATGCTCTTTTTCACAGCGTGCCCTCTAGTTGCTAGTGGTGGCACGGTAACTCTAACTAACTCTAGCTTACATAGCTTACACACAACTTGATCTCGAGGTTCCACAATTTTGCCATCGACTGACCAAAATTTGAAGTATTTCCAAACGAGCCTTTTTAGGTTGTTTGGAACGCAGATCACTCTCTCTGCATATGTGTTGGCTTGTGAACACTTTGCCACCATTACCGCACATAACGTTGTGTGTGTGACTCCTGTCCGTCATGCAGTACATTCAGTGCAGCGGCCCAGGCCCGCACAGGAGCTTGTGAGGCAGACAGCCGCGGTCAATATTAAATGTCACAATGGAATGTCTGTTTTATTTTTACTATTTGAACATATAATCGAATTTGGAATATTCATTAACAGCTCTAGTGAGAACTGGTTTTTGTGTTAAGGTCTATCAGAATAATAATAGTGCTAATTATTTGAAGATTATCAAGCGCTACATGTTGGACAGCCGTTGCTCAATCAGAGGAAACATAATCCATGTCTAAGTTTGACTTAACATCTTAACATGCCGCTCATCAAAATGTCAGCTTGCTCAGTATTCAGTAACTGTGACCCAAGCCCGGCATGATCACATCCATCTGACCTGCTCCCCCCCCCCTCCAGGTGGGTAAAAATGTAGATAAGTGGCTTTGGATGCTGAGTGGCAGGCGAATCATGACCAGAGGAGAGGGCGACTGTAATGTGGTGAAGAGCCGTAATGGCAGCATCCAGGCCGACTTCCTGGCCTGGAAGGTCAAGTTCCTGAACCGCCTACAGGCCCTGGCCAAGGGGGAGAAGAAGAGCTGCAGCGGGAAGTGTAAAAGCAGAGGCTCCTGTAAGAACAAGCGGAAAGACGGACATGTGGAAGAGAAGAAAGCAGCTCTGCAGAGTAACAGCTCTGAGGTAACGCAGCGAGCTTGTGTCACTGTTGTGTGTTTAATGACACATTATAAACATGTTTACCTTAGTGGCAGCATATTGACCTGTTTGCTGACAAGTAAGTGTCCATGTGCAACAAGCTGAAGGGCTTCCAGCTCCTGGATCGGTGTCACTGTTCTGCCCTTTGATAATTATATGGGGAACTATGGATCTGACCTGCTGTCCATTGCTTATCACACATCACATTTCACATTTCAGCTGATGAATATTGTTGATTGACTTTAACTAAACTCACACAGTGGTTTTTGACACAGTGTTGTGATCAACTTTAACCAGGACATAGTGATTAGACATTATCAAACTCTAAAGTCCATGACTGCTACATCACAGATGCCACTGACTGGCTCCAGAGCTGCAGGTACTCCTCTAATCTGCTGTGTGTGTGTTCAAGGGCAGACAAATGATCATAGAAGGTCAGAGGTCAGCATAGTGAGTATTCTACATGGCTGGTAAACTAAAGCATGAAACTCTGTTCAGTAGGATTGACTAGTACAGTCACCGTGCACTGCATGACAATCCATAGCCTTTGCTTTTGATGAGTAAGCTGCAACGTTACTTTCACTTAGACTCCAGGTTTGAGACTGTGAAAGGGTGTAGCTGAGATGTAATTAGGGAAATGTCTGTCCCTTACAGTGATGTCTCTTCAGAAGGGCACTTTAGATATCCAGCCTGCTCTTATCACAGGAGTATGAAGTGGGCTGGCTGGCTAATGACCTCATGCTGCACTGTGATTAAAACCAGATAAGGACTCCAACTGTCTCAGGAAGAGGAGTGTTACCTCAGCTTATCGGGTCCTTGTTTAGTTGCACCGATGTTGTACATTTTCAATGATAGCACGGTATTGGAAAAGTATTCTGCTTGGCTAACGTGCAGTGTGTCATCTGTCAACACTGCCCATCATGTCAGAAAATGAAAATAGCACTTATTTTTCACCAATCACTGATTTCACAAGAAGGCAAGTACAAACACAGCCATATTATATATTCACACATGCATACACTAACAGCTTTCATACGCATCACAGCACACACACATGACCAGTTGTCATGGTAGCAGGCACCTCTGAGCCAACTCTGAGACTCCTTCCCCTGTCTGCAACACTCTGCACTCAGCAGAGGTGACATTCAGCCGGAACCAGGAGTAGCTGAGAGCTGTGTCCAGGGGACCATCACTGGGATTTATCCCCCCACTGTGGCACTCAGCTTCCTCACTGGGCACACACTGTGGTAAATCGTCTGAAACGCCATAAACGGCGTTATTATTTTCTTATTGAATCAGGCAGCCCAGGAGGAGATAATGAGTTCCATATGGGCTCCCCCACTCAATCACAGACAGGTTTTTAATTGGTTATGGGTTAGAACATATGTGCACGTCTCTACATTGGACAGTCATTTATAGTTTCCATTCAGTCATCAGTGTCACTACATCCTTCTTTTTGTTAACCTTTTTAACTACCTTTTCATGGTGGTGGTGGTTATTTCAGGAGAATGTGATGGAATCCAGCAGTGATGAGAGCGAGTCTGGCCCACAAGATGATAAGACAGCAGGCTCAGTGGTTGACATGGAGGACCTGGGAAACATCATGAACAGCATCAAGAAAGCAAAGGTCAGACTCCATCAACAAGCACACTGACAGCACTTTGTCGTTTCACATAGCCTCAGTCACCATGTTCCCTTACAGGTTAGTTAGCTGATAACCACCTTTCCCTAGCCTCAGGTTCCAAAGCAATTGCAAGAACTCCTACACAGCTGAGCATTCAGAGATGTGTGTTTCTACTTAAAATAAATGCTTCACAGTGTCACAGTTGGATGGTTGTTGGAGCTCCAGTCTCATCATCCAGCAGGTTTATTTTCAGTTTCTACATTAGGATCTATAATTGACACCATTGTGACATTAAGCTTAGTCCAGTCTAAGCGTGTGGAGACAAAAAGTGGTGTCTTTGAAGGAGAAATGGCAGATGGGTTGATAGACATCAGACCCCAGCAGGCGAGAAGCAGAGGCTTGTGTAATAGCAAGGACGCCCACTTCACAGACTTGTGAGAAATGAGTCAAGAAAAGCAGAAAAAATGGGAAGGAAGAGGAATCATCAGTCCCTCTTGTAGGCTGTTGTATAAGGACCTGAGTGAAGAAGTGAGCTCTGAGAGCAGGTGTCCAGCCCTGTAATGTTCCTGTCCTCTTGTAGCTAGAAGCAGAGTGAAATCTCATAAAATTAGCAGCTCACCAGTTTCATGATGCATCAAGAAGAGTAGAAATGAAAGAGACAAATCAAGAAAAACATTTCACTGGTGCCAAAAAGGCCCCGACCTTTCAGAGATGAAGCATGCCATCTTTGCTGTAGTCTGTTCCGTTACTCTGTTTGCGCCTTTTAAATGATCTCTTCCTGCATTATGTCCAATTCAGCTGGATGTGTGAAGTCATAACAACATGATGATCATAAATGATCTTTTACTGTGGCTGCAACAGAAACATGATTATCCCAGCTTTCAACACATCAAATTAAACCTTTGACTTTTGGTCCTGAAGAATCAATCAGCATTTTCTTTTTCTGTATGAAATTATATTGGTTACATTTTTGTGATTTTGAGAAGGTTTTTGTTGTCTTGAATGCACAGTTCATGTTGTGCTAACAGAGCTGGATTCTAGTAGAAGTGTTCGTGTCTCACACAGACAATGAACATGACTTTAACCACAGATTCCCGCAGCCTTGTCCCAGAGTATTGTGTCAGCTCTGGGATGTTTGGACAGGCCTCTGTGAGTCGTACCTGAAGGTGTTCACAGCAGGGAACGTTAAAGAGATGTCTGCTGATGACTCCACTAGATTGGGAAGCTCCTTTCTTTTCAGTTGCTGTCTGTCACAGTGGGGAGCGAAAGGCTTTGTTTTAAAAAATTCATGAAGCAATTTCATTTAGTTTTAATGAGGAAGCCATTGCTTCCTATTGTCATTGTTTTCCCTAAGGATGTTCCCTGTATATTTGTGATGGCCACGCAAACACGTCACCGTCTACAAATGTATGTTAATATTATTTAGTCGATTAGAGTTATTTGGTTTGTCAGGATGACAGTTTAGCATTGTTTTTGCATAATTCTGTCACACAGAGCAGGTCGTTAGTTCTTTATATTAAACATTTGCCGTTGGGGACAAGTATTTTAGCAAAGCTGCAAATTAAGTGTGAACAAGAAAATTCTGTTAGTTACCTAATTTACAGTGTCGAGCCAGCTGAGCTCCAGAAGTGTATGACCCCCGGTTAATAAGCTAGACAGATGTGTTGTGTTGTAGTTTCAGGTTAAAATTTCAGTTTGCTGGAGATCAACTATATACCTCCCCCAGTTTCTGTCTGCCTGGAATACTTGTCATTATAACTGCAGGTGGAAGCTCACCTTGTCTGTGTTTGACCACTAGGTGATGGTAGAGACTGGCGTTTGTAAGCAGCTTAAACCTCTTTACTGCAACACCCAGTCAGAACCACTGTTGACCAAAGTGCTGTAGAAATAAACAAGATAAGATTCTTTACAAAATAAAACCGTTTAAAGGCACCTTGTTTTATTGTGCTTCTATTTTAATTTTTTTTTTATCGTACAATTATTTAATTAGCTCAACTGAATGCCAATGAAAACAGGTGAGTCTTCACCAGAGATTTAAATGTGTCGATGCTCTGAGCAGTACATATGTTGAAAGGCAGAGGGTTTTATAGATTTGGTGCAACTACTGCAAAAGCTCGGTCACCTTGGTTTTTTTGTTTGTTTTTGTTTTTGTTTTAGCTTTGTTCTGGGCACATCAAGGATCATCAGATTAGCGGACCTCAGAGCTCTGGGCGGCTTGTGAATGTGGATTAGTTCTGATAGATAAGGAGGGGCCAACCCATTTAAAACCTTAAAAACTTGGAAAAGAATCTTAAAATCAATCCTGAACTGGACAGGAAGCCAGCCAGCTCGTGTTTCTTTTTTTTCCCCCAGTCAAAAGATGAGCGGCTGTATTTCAGATTATTGGAGTCGATTTAAAGATGATCAATAGCCACATAGAGGAAGTTACAGTAGTCCAGAAGTGAGTATGAATAGCTCTCTCAAAGGCAAATATGCTCCCAAGCCTTCTTTGTCTCTTTCTGCTTGGTCCATGTCTTTTGTGCCTCCTTTCTCACGTGTACCTTTGTTTTTCTCTCGGTCGCCTGCTTGCACTGTGTGTTGTCATTGCACTGTCCATCTGCATCACTCACATGTTGTCTTAGTTCCAGAGCACAACACGGTGCTGTGAGATGTCCCAGTTCCGGTAATGCAGACAGGCCTGGGCATGACTGGATGGTTGTGAGCTCTCAGGCCAGAGTGAAAGTTGAGCGGTGGGAGCTAGAGACTGGGGCCAGATGAATGGCTAGGGCTGCACACAAACACCACAGGGACAGATTGATGCCCTGTTGGCTGTGTGTCGAGTATACCATCAGAATTTTCATGTGGCTTAGATTTAGCTGTTTGAGCCACAGGGTGATTACTTTTACATGTATGTTTTATACCAGACTTGGAAAGATAGTAGCTTAGCAATGAATGTCAGTTCAGAGATGGAACTGGTGCTGACAGGCTGTGGAATCACTGCTGTGCTTGGGGCTGCGCCTGGTTAATGGCAGGCAGACACGACCTCGGCTGCAAAGAGCAGATTGGAGCTGCTAGAAAGTTACAGGGCAGGTTGCAGAGCAGTGTAGGCATGTCTCCATTTGTCTGTGCTCTTCTGTAGTGAACATGAAATGCCTTGAATCAGGTTGACAGAGCAGTAGTGAGGTATTCTGCTGCTCAGCTCTGCTCAGCCTTGACCCCTAACAAGTGCCGATGTAGTGACAGGTGGTCAAATTGACATTTGTTTTACTCTTTAGTAACTCTTGTACCTTAGTGTTGGTAGTGTGGGACGTCATGTTTATATTTGTAGGTCTGTTTATTTGTTACTACGGGTGAGAAAACACTGGTGCACAGTTTACTTTTACATGTATTTCTTACACCAATGTTGGAGAAGATAGTAATTATCACTGAGTGTCAGTTAAGAAGTTAAAATTGGTGTAATCTCATATTCAAAGCAGATTTTGAATATCACTGTTATATTTTTTCCACAATACTGTGATGGTTATAAGCAATAACTGACTCTGACTTCGTCGTCTGCCACAGAGCAGAGAGGAGGATCAAGTAGATGGCCAGATGGTGAAGCTATCCAAGTTGAACGAGGTGACAAAGATTGAAGACGAAGGGGAAAGAAGAGAGATGATCACGCCGGCCCTTAGAGAAGCACTGACAAAGCAAGGTGAGGAAAAAGGTGACTTGGATTTAAAAAACAAAAAAAAAGGTGTTATAGATTAGAGAACAAAAGCAAACCGAGGAGAACATCAGTTTGATAGCTAACTGACTAACTCATGCTGCTTAAGTCACTGGTAGAATTTTATGAATCTTTTGTATGTGTAAAACTGTAGCCATTTCCAAGAGACCATCTGCTGGGTGTCGCTGGTGCCTCTGGATAATATATTCATATTATTTAGCTGTATTGCCTGGAAATAAAAAGCACATTACAGACCTGGCCCACCAGCTGCTTGTTAGCATATCATTAACCTTGCTGCACAAGGGGTGCAAAGTTGTAATTCACTTTAAAAGCTGAATTATGAATCATGTCTTTTTTTATTTTTTTATTTCAGCAGTAAATCTAATAAACACACACAAAGTGACAGCTTTTTTTTTTTTTGCTTCGCGTATTCACTCATCACAGCCATTGATAGAGGTGTCGGTGTTCTTTAGGTATCTACTAGTGTTGTTTATAAATCAAGTATCCACTGACTTCAGAGGTGAATTGCTTTGGCATACCATGCAGAAATAAGTAATACATTGGAACCTCTGCTGCCTGCCGAGCATGCAGCTCGGGAGTGTGTGTCGTCTAGTGGCTCTTATTGATGCAGTACAGTCCTCTCTACCTCCTTCAGCCCTCAGGGTACAGTCCCACTCCTCTTCTCTCCTCTCACTCCTTTCGGCAGCACTAGGAGGTATCATCATGGCACATGTAGACAGTCAGCCACATCTCTGATGCACACTTGATGCCCAGGTCAGTCTTGATATCAGTGTCAGTCCAGTATTTTTAAAAAATTGGGTATCAGATTTGATTGGATTAAGAGGATATGGAAATATCTAGTGGAAGCATCTTATGAATAGTGCTGTCTCTGTGAAGGATTACATTTACGTTATGATTTCCTGAATCAGATCTGCAGTAGAGCTCTGCCCATGTGTGTGTAGCAGAGTTTGGCTCGGTGTTGCACCATGTGCTTTGACAAATTGCTGTTTTTTTTCCCCCATTTTTCTTTTATAAAGCCGCACTCTTGGTTGTTGACTCATTGGCTTTGTCTGAAACATATTACTATTCTGCTCTCCTACTATTTTGTCTGTTCACTGCACAGGCCAGTCATTTTTAACCAATACCACCACCACCACTCTCCCCACTGTTAGCATACACAACCCTCTTTAAATAGGACTCTGTGGACAAGACTTCAAGTTCATTTGGCCAAATGTTGACCTGTTTCATGCTCTTAATGTTGGCAGCAGTCCTACTGGACAGTTTGTCTTTTAACAGAATGAAGGTTTTGGCATTATTTTAATGACCTTGTTTTTTGGAAGGCTGTGATTCCTGTGTACCCTTTTTCTGGCATGACATGGATGCAGAAGTTGCACATCTATGAAAACCTTATCAAAACTAGTGTTGAAGGAGGTTTTAACAGTGTTAAGATTACTTTTTGCCATCAACAATGATCAAGGGATTACAGAATGCATGCAAAAAGAAGAATGCGTTATACAAGCAATTCATAAAGGACAGATCAAAGAAGGTGGAAGAAAGATATAAGTCATACAAGAACAAATTAACTGAGATTTTGAGGAGATGTAAGAAACAATATTACTCTAAATTATTAGAGGATAATAAAAATAACATGAGCGGTACGTGGAATATATTAAATAAATTGATTAGAAACAGTTCTAGAAAGAGTAACTACCCTCAATATTTTATGGATAATGATACACAGGTCAATAGATTGGAGGATGTAGTTGAAAAGTTTAATAGGCTCTTTGTGAATGTTGGTCCTGGTTTAGCAAGAAGCATTTGTACAGATGATACATCCGTCACTATAAATAATAATACAATCGAAAGGAACATGAGTTCTATGTTTTTGAAGCCCATAGTTGAAAAGGAAATTATAGAGATAGTGAACAAATGTGGTAACAAAACATC